GAAGCCACACTGGGTTGGTGCTGGACCCATGCCTTTGTTCTCCCCCCGGATCCTTGGGATGGCAGCAGTGACACCACCCTGGGCCCTTCCTGGCATGAGCCCACAGGGCTGACACGAGGAGGGGCTACAGGGCTGCACAGACTCCCTGTCACGCCCCTCTTTGTACCCAGCTGTGGATGAGCAGAACAAGCAGACCCAAGCCTACCAGGGCAGTGTGGGCCCCAGCAAGGACAGCTCGGAGGAGTTCAGCAGGGAGGAGGAGAAGCTCAGTAAGATGCCAGCAGGGCATGTGGCATTTTGTGGGTGTATAGGGGTGAGCTGTGGGATGGGCTCAGGGTGAGAACCCTTGTAGCAGCTACCTCCCTGTCACCCTGGCCAGGCTCCCGGCGGGTGACGGTGACCTCTGCGTCTTCCTCCATCATCCTGGACCGGCCAGACACCTTTGGCAGCTTGCAGTTCCCTGAAGACCCCGGCACCCTGTGAGTCAGGTGTTCTGCCTGCCCCGGAGACCTTGGCCCACTCTTGCTGCCCAGGAGCAGAGCTGGTACCACGCTGCCCCTTTGACAAGGCTGCTGCCCAGCAGTGTGGCATCCCTGCTACCAGACCCTTCCTGGCCAAGCAGTGCCCGTGCTGGGGTAGCCTGTCTGTGGATGGTGTGGGATCTCTGCTGATGCTTTGAGCTTGGTGTTCCCACCTGCAGGCAGGTCCTGGCTGTGCCATGGGTGTCCTACCATGGTGACTGAGGGAAACTAGCAGCCATCCCTGCTAGTTTTGGTCAGGCTTCCCAGTGCCAGCCGCTCTGCTCCAGTGGGTGTTACACTGCATCCTCTGGTGCCAACCCAGAGTCACCGATGTGCAGCTGCTGCTCAACCTGCTTTCCCTCTTTGCTGATTTCAGACACTTCTTGGAGAAATGTGTCATGAATAACTACTTTGGCATCGGCCTGGATGCAAAGATCTCCCTGGAGTTCAACAACAAACGCGATGAGCACCCCAAGAAGTGCAGGTGGGCTGGTACCCGTGGGTTTCCCCCAGGACAAAACATGTACCTCAGGCTTTCCAGTGACATCAAGTTGCTGGGAGCCATAGGGGTGACTCAGTCCTGCTGTGTTGGAGATCCTTCCTGCAGCAGATTTTGTACCTGCACCCATTGCTGGGATGAACACCCCAGAAAGGGTGAAGACGTGAGGACTCGGTGGGATTTACTTGCTCTGCACCTGGAGAGAGGGACATTGCCATGCTGGCATGGAAAGGTCGAAATCTGGGTGCAACATGCTGCACCTTTGGCTTTTCTGGGAGGTAGCAAGAATTGAGGAAACTAAGGTGGGGCCAGCAGTCCGGGACTGTTGAGCACAGTGCCCCAGGAAGGTGTGGAGCCTGTGACAGGCAGTGGGAAGCCCACAGCCCCTCATCTGTTCCACTTTGTCCCACAGCAGCCGCACCAAGAACATGATGTGGTATGGGGTGCTGGGCACGAAGGAGCTCCTGCAGCGCACCTACAAGAACCTGGAGCAGCGGGTGCAGCTGGAGGTATAGGGCTGGGACAACAGGGAAAGGGTGGGAGGGGCAGCGTTACAGCAGCCCCCCAGGCTTAGCCCTCTCTTGCAGTGTGATGGGGTGCCTATCTCACTGCCCAGCCTGCAGGGCATTGCTGTCCTCAACATCCCCAGCTATGCCGGGGGCATCAACTTCTGGGGAGGCACCAAGGAGGACAATGTGAGTGCCAGGACCGTGACATGAGTTGGGTGGCGTGATGTCCTTTCCCCAGTCCTAAGATACCCCAGGGCTAGGGTGTCCCTGCCTTGGGCACACATGGGGAAAATGGAAGTCTTCATGTGTAGTGGTCCTCTACAGAACTTTGGGGCTCCATCCTTCGATGACAAGAAGCTGGAGGTGGTGGCAGTCTTTGGCAGCATCCAGATGGCCGTGTCACGGGTCATCAACCTCCAGCACCATCGCATTGCACAGGTAGTGGTGAGGTACCCTGCAGGACCACAGCTAATGCCTGAACGCTTTTTGGGGTAGCAGTGGAGCCTGAGGCAGTGCGGCTCTGCTCAGCTTTGCAGCTATTGATGCCACCCGTGGGCTGTCTGTCCCACAGTGCCGTGTGGTGAAGATCACCATCCGGGGCGATGAGGGTGTCCCTGTGCAGGTGGATGGAGAAGCCTGGATCCAGCCACCTGGCATCATCAAAATCCAGCACAAGAACAGAGCCCAGATGCTGACAAGGGACCGGGTGAGATTGAGGTGCTCAGCAAGACCATGCTGGGATATGGGGAGGTATGACCGTCTCAGAGGGGCCACGTCTGTCCCCCACAGGCATTTGAAAGCACCCTCAAGTCTTGGGAGGACAAGCAGAAAGGCGAGAGCTACCGAGCAGCCACACGGCCACGGCTCAGCTCCCAGCAGTCCATGGAGTACCTGACCGAGGAGGAGAGCAGCCTCTTGCAGCAGGTCTCACGGGTTGCTGAGACCCTCATTGCCAGGTCAGACTGTGGGAAGGGGAATATAGTGGGCACAGGGAAGGGGGAACTGTCTTGTGGCCATGCAGAAGTACCTGCCCAGCCCAGGGGAGCCCTGGCAGCTCCAGCCCCTGTCACCCGCAGGATTCATGAGGCAGCCAAGGCTCACAAAGCCATGGAGCAGGAGCTGGCGCATGCAGTCAATGCCAGCTCCCTGGCACTGAGTGAAGCCCTCTCCCACAAAGCTGCTGGCACCTCAGAGGTGAGCAGGGACTGGAAGTGTAAGGCAGCCTTTACCCAGGCCCACAGAAGGGGCCCTGCCACTCAAGGGGTTACCCTTCTGTGCCCCAGTTTCTCAGCAGGAATATGGCTGTGGAGATGGTGCTGAGCATCAGAGAGCTGTGGGCTGAGACCAGGGCATTCCTGGAAGGGAAGGCGGTGAGTGAGGGACTGGAGAGCACCCAAAGCCCCTCAAGGCTGCTACCTCTGGGGCTGGCAGCAGGGTTGGGCATGGTGCCTGTCTCCCACAGCTGGACTCGCCACAGGAGGAGGAGGCGCTTCAGGGCCCCCTGAGTGTGCTGGGTCAGGAGTTGCAGCGGCTGCTGGACATCCACTGGCTGGGCCCTGTTGCCCACCCTGCTGAGGAGGTGGGTGCACAAGGACTGGGGTCTGGCACAGCCCAGCCTCTGGGAGCTGTAGCATCCCAGCAAGCGTGGCTTCTCACAGGAAGGTGCCAGCAAGGGCAGCTTTAAGCTTCGCCTCAACATCCCCAAGCCCAGGAAGGAGAAGGACAAGCTGCAGAAGCAGAAGGCCAACACTGCGCTCCCAGGTACAGTGAGCAGTGTGCCAGGGAGAGACACATGGTGCACTCCATGCTAGAAAGGACCCCCCTGTGCTGACCTGTCCTTCAGTCTCCTGTCCTGGGAATGCTGGGAAGAATCCTCAGGAAGGGGGAACCTGGCTGCCTGGGGGTGGCACCCTTGTCACCAAGAGCCCCTTAAAGCTTTTTCTGATATCAGACATGCAGAGCACCCCAACCCCATAACTCCTTAGCTAGGGGGAGAAAGGGGCTCTGGTACAGCTCAGACCTTTGGGTAAGCCCCTCGACAGCAGCTGGGGGTCTGGTTGAGGGGGAGCAGCTCAGGTGCTCTGTAAGTACACCAAGGAGAGACTTCTGCAGCCTGAGCAGGCTGTGGCCTCTGGCCCTGCTGGAGTCAGGGGTGGGAGGGGATATGCTGCCTGCTGACCACAGGCTGCCATCACTGCTGCCTGCGCTGCTGCGTCCCACTGCCTCCACAGGCAGCAGTCCACCGCTGTGGTTTTCTTCCCTGCTAGCAGACAAGTGGGGCTCTGAGGAGGTGGCAGCTTGGCTGGAAACGCTTGGTTTAGGAGAATACAGAGACATTTTTGTCCGGCATGACATCCAGGGCTCAGAGTTGATTCTGCTGGAGAGGAGAGACCTTAAGGTACAACCCCCTTGTGCCTCCTGAGGGACCCCCAGCCCTGGGGAGCATGGTGTCCTCCATCCCTCCTCTCCCTATCCCTCCTGGTAGCAGGTTGGCCCTACATCTGGGTCCGCAGAGTTGAGTTTGTGCAGCTTCTGCACAGGGGCGGGGAAGCAGGGGAGGAAGGGTGGCCTTGGTCCTCCAGCTTGCAAGGCTCCATACACCTGTTCAAAGCAGTATCAGCAGCACCTGACCCTCACCTGCATTCAGGCATGGGGTTGTGCTTTCAAGAAGTGGGCTTCAAGCAAGCACTATGCTCTAGCAAGGGAGAGGATGGGGAGCTGGGCTGTACCTCATCCTCCACCCTGTGGCATGTCTACCAGCAAGGGCCAAGAGCTGCCCCCTGCAAATGCATCACCTCCTCTTTCTCTTTCCTGCAGGACCTGGGGATCACCAAAGTGGGCCATATGAAGAGGATCCTTCAGGCCATTAAGGAACTCAGCAACCTGCCCTAGGCTGACAGCAGAGCAGCAGCCCAGTCCAGGTGCTGGGTGGGTGCTGCCCCCAGGGAACAGGGGTTGGGGTAGGGGAACAGGTCCCTGCCCTTGCCCCATATGTATGGAGCCCCCCCTGCTTGCCTCGCTTTAACTCTGTCCCCAGTGACCCTGGAGCCACTGCTTCACCCCAGCCTATGGGGCTGGAGACACTGAAGCAGAGGTCTACCCTGATAGGTGTGTGGTCTGACCACCAGTCCCACCCCATCAGGGTCACTGTAGGAGCTGGGGCCACCCTCTGTGTGCTCAAGCTGGAGCCAAAGCAAAGTTTCCCCTTCCCCATGTGGGTATTTATGCTGTGTAAATATTTGGAGAGAAGATACTCATTGCTGCTGCTAACGTAGTGTCATTACTAAGGGGAAGGTGGGGAGGAAGGAATTGAGAATACCTTTCCAGCCTTCACCCCTGAGCTTCCTGCTCTCCACCAGTCACCGTGCTCTCACCTTCTGTCTCATCACAACACAGGAAAGTACAGTGCTGGGGCTCATAGTCTCCAGTGCCAGCATGTACAACAAACACATTTTATTAACAGTTACACATGACTTTTTTCCCCCACCTCATCCTTAGTTAAAATAACTATTACTTATGTACATGGTACCACCCTGCTTGAGGGTACCCCATTATTTACAGGCTTATTCACAGAGTAGGGCTAGGAGCTAGTGAGCGTCTCCTCGAGCTTGAGCATGTCCATGGGGGTGACTTTGGCAACCTCAAAGAAGACCCTGGAAGGAACACGTTGGCTTAGAGCTCAACCACAGCCCTGACACCCATCCACCAGTGCTTCCAGATCCCTGTGGAACCCCAGGGTGCATGCTGGTGGTGTCACTGCCAGTGGCAGGGACAGGCCCGAGACAGAGCCCTGTGACTCACCTGTGCGAGTACTTGCTGCGCACAGCATTCAGCTTGTCACGGGGCTGGTATGTGAGCAGGAAATTCAGCCTCTTCACCAGGGGGTGCAGGTCCTGGGCACTGTACCCGCTGTAGTACTCCAGTGTAGGGGTCTGCAAGGGGACAGCAGGGCTAAGCTGTGTCCTCAATGACAGGACAGCCATCGTCTTCCCTGTCCCAGCATCCAAATCTGGTCATAGCCCTAGTGCATCATCCCACTCACTAGTCCATTGCATCCCCCTGCGGTGCCTCCCAGGGTGCCTCAGCAGGGATAGTACTCACCCAGCCCCCAAGGTTCTTCATGGTAAGTGCCAGCAGCAGGCAGCTGGCAGCCAGCTTCGAGGGACTCTCACGGGCATAGTCGTACTCCTGCAGGGTCATCTCGCAGAGGAAGCGGGCCAGCGTCAGTGTCTCCATGGTGGCACGGGCACACTGCAGCCAGTGGGCAGGGAAAGGCTCAGCCTTTTGAGAAATGCTGCTCCCCTTCCCAGCCCTTCTAGGATCTAGAATGCAGCCTCTGGGGCACAGGTCAGGGATCACACACAGCCATCCTCATGCCCCAAACCCTTTTGAGGGGACCTGGATGAAGTTTCCTTGCTGCCCTGGCGATACGAGTCAGTCCCCTGGAGCCAACAGAAGTGGGGGCACCCAGCCCAGCCTCCGAAGGCACTCACCTTGGCAAAGCGCCGCAGGAAGCGGTAGGGGATGGGGATGTTGATGTCGAACTTGAGGGTGCTGAGGATGCTCATCTCCATAGCAATAAGCTCCTCCCGCTTGTAGGCATCATCACAGATATAGAGGAAGTCATCCACACATGGTGGGCACCGCTCCTGTAGGGGCACAACCGCTCAGCACCCTAGCAGGGGCTCATCCTGGCCTCACCCAGGAGATCCTGGCCATCCCGCGGACCCTGTAAGTGTCCACGTGCTGCTGGACTCAGCAAGGACTGTTAACACCCTGTGGGACTTTTGTTGAGCCCATACTGCTCCAGCCCTTGGCTTAAGCTCCATTAAGGAAACTAAGGTATCCTGCATTAAGTGATGGTCTGTGCAAAGCAGAGAGAAGCTGGCTCTCCAGTGACACTTGGACACAAGTTTCAGCCTGCCATGACTGTATTTGCAGCCCTTGGGATAGGAAGGAGGAACATGACAGACATGCGACTCTGGCAGCTCTCAGGGTAGTAACCTGGCCTTCTCTAAAACCCCCCCAGGGACCATAGAGGCACAGCCCCTCTGCCCCTGCACCCCAGGAAAGCACACAAAGAGTCACCTCAAATTTGGAGGCAATAAGGATGGCAGTGGAGCCGATGAGCTGCAGCTTCTCCCTCATGCTCACCACCTCCACCAGGTAGTGGTCCACTAGCTTCACAGCCAGGTACAGTGTCTCATGGTTCAGCTCAAAGTTCTCCTTCAAGAATGAGAGTGGGGGTCAGAACAGAGTGTCAGACAGAAGTTAGTCCTGGCCAGCCCCTTGCAGCTCTCACAGAGGCCAGGGGTACCTATGGGCCAGGCTCAGAGGCAGGGATGTAGACTCATCCCTAGCCCACACAGGGGGAGGATCAGTTCTGCACTGGGAACTCTTGCAGGAGCCTCTGCTGGCACAGAGGTCACGCGTGCCAAAGGCAGCATGGGGGCTGCTCTGCAGAAAGCTGTGCCCTCTCACCTGCACCTCCACCATCCAGTCCACAAGGATAGCACGCATGTCCCCACTGATGTCTGTCTGCTTCTCCATGTAGTCAGGAAGCATGAATTTTTCCTGCCAAAGAGCCAGCTGTCAGGGACAGGGCAAACATCCCCACCTTCACACAAGCCCCTTCTCACCCTGTGCAGTCCTCTGCCAGGTGGTCAGAGCCTCTGGGCAGTCAGTGGCCCTGCCTGCAGTCACTCCTTCTCTGGACAGGGCTGTCAACCCCAGGACAGGCATCACCCACCTCTCTTTCCCGCATGTATTCAAAGATCTCCTTGGCGTACTCTGCATTGGCGTAGGGGTCACCCAGCTGCTCCTTGTCAATGTCCTCCACTGCTGGCACCTGCTGGCATGGAAGAGGCAGCAGTAAGGGGGAGGCCCTGTAAGTGCCAGTCACCTTGTCAGGGCAAGGCTGCTGCTCTTCTGCACCCCCTTTTCCACCTGCCCTCATCACCCAGCAGTCCCTGCCCCACTTTTTCTCAGGGGAGGACTCTTGAAGGAAGATGGTGGTGCATTTTGCCCCCCTCCCCAGCTTTCCATCACCCTGGCTGAAGTCTCTCCAAGGCCCAGAGCACTGCCTGGTGCCCGAGTACCACCAGTGGCAGCCACAGACTGGTGCTGTGATGGGCCTGGGGCAATGCTGCAGCCCAGGGTCCCTACCCTCTGCTCAGGGGGCTTCGGTTCCTGTACAAACACTGGCTTCTCTGGCACAGGGTCCACTCTGGGCTCTGCAGGAGCTGTTGGGGGAGTTTTCTTCATTGACCTAGGAAGGACAAGAGCATAAATCATTGCTGGGAGAAGACCAAATTTCTTGGCTGAAAAGGGGCCTTCCAGAGGCTCTTGCTGCTTCAGGAAGGGGCAAAAGCACCCCTAAAATATCCCCACAGAGTCCTAGAACCACTTAGGCTGGAAAAGACCTTTAAAGATATTGAGGACAACAGTTCCCCCAGCACTGCCATGCCCACCACTAAACCATGTCCCCAAGGGCCACATCCACATGCCTTTTAAATCCTTCCATGGAAGGTGACTCTACACCTGTCCTAGGCAGCCTGTGCCAGGGCTAGACAGCCCTTTTAGGGAAGAAATTTTTCCTAATATCCAACCTAACCCTCCCCTGCCACAACCTGATGCCATTTATAGTAGATATACTACATCCTTCCTGCATCTGGCTCAGCCTCCATCACCCAAGAGAAGCCCCTACTACTTGCCCCCATGGGACAAGATTGCAGCAAACCCCTGCCCCCAGCTACTCACTTTTTTAGGTTGATCTCATTGTTCTTGGCCACCCCTAAGGCATTATGTGCCTTCTGCGCCTTGGGTGGAGCAACCTTCACAGCCTCCTTCTTCCCTGCCACCACCTGGTTCTTGCGAGCCTGTTTGGGTCAGAACAGGGGCATACAGGGGCTGCACCGTGGAAAGCAAGATATGCCCTGCAGGGAGACCTCTCCTCTTCCTAATGGGCATGGGGTATGCCACCCCCACCATGGGGAGCTCACAGGGGGCACCAGAGCCTCCACCCTCACAGAAGCACTCACATTGGTGATGTCTCCAAACGCTGATCTCTTCTTGGGCCCGCCCTGGGGTGAGGATGAAGACCTCTTGGCATGACAGCTCTCCTCCTGCAATAGAGGCTGTTAGAAGATGGTGGTCAGCTGCCCCACAGGAGCCCCCCTACAGTCCTCTCTTGGCTCGGTGCTCACCTTCTCAGGATCAACATTCTCTGCAGCAGGGCCTGCCTTGCCTGCTCGGGACTGCTTGGTGGTCAGCATCTTGGCATTGCGTGGCAACGGCATCCTCTCCCTTGGTCTCTGTGAGCAAGCTGGGGGCAAAGCATGATGTGATGGAGGCTGCTGCCCACCTGCCTCCAGGGACACCCTCCCAGCTTAGGCCAGCACAGGGGGAGATAACCTGGGGGTTAGCACAGCAGGACTGACCTCTTTCCTGAGCATGGCAGGTGGGTGGTGCCCCAAGACAAGCCCAGGCGAGGGACAAATCTGGCTAGGGGTGCTCCCGGGGAGGAAGGGATACAGACCCCAAAGACCACCAGCAAAAGCACGCTGCTGGGTGAGGTGGTAGAGGGGACAGGCAATTTCCAGATTCCTGCACCCCAGAGAAGGAGGCAAGGGCTTGCACTTCCTCAGAGAGCTGGAAGTCTTGGAAATCCCCACTCTCCCACAACCCTTAGGGTCCCCTGGGGGAGTCGGGAGTCCCAAAGTTCCCCTCTCTCCTGCATCCCCCGGCGTTCCCAGGGAAGCTGGGGATCTTGGAAGCCCTTATTCCCTTGCATCCTCCAGGATCCCCACGCCTGCCACTAACTAGGGCTCCCAGCGCTGCCCACTCCCCCGCAGCCCTCAGAGGCCCCACTCACCCACAGCCGGGGGAAATCCCCCCAGTCACCCCTGCCCGGGTGTCCCCTCCCCGCTCACCCATGCCCGGTGCGCTGTGCCCGCACCTCCAGCCCCGGCGCTTTTGAAAGTAGCAGTTCGGTAGCGGCCGGCCAGCACTGGCCGAGCCTCGCCCAATCAGAGTGCGAGGCGATGCCAGGCGGCGGCCAATCGGAGGGCGCAGAGGGATGCAGTTGCTAAGGGGCAGGGCGGCAGGGTTTAAAATTCAACGCCGATGACCAATGGAAAGGCGAGCATGCGGCAGGGGCGGGGCGAGCGCCGAGCCGGGCGGGCAGTGATTGGTGGGAGCGGGCGCCGTTTAAATCCGTTCTGCGGGGCCGCAGGGCCGTCGTGGTGCGGGGCGCCCGGGGAGCGGCCCCGGCCTTGCTGGCCTTCGGGGCGGGTGGAGCGGCCTCCGCGGGCAGCTGGCTCCGCTGGCTCCACTGCCTCCGTCCGCAGCCGAGGCTGTGGGTCCCAGCCCTCGGGGCTGCCCTTTCCCATCGGGCCGGGGAACTTTGCTTTGGGGGACAGGGTGTGCTGGCCGTGCACCTTCCTTGACCCAGTGTCGGGAACAGAGGGTTCGGATGGCTTGGATAATCACAGAACGGTTTGGGTGAGAAGGAACCTTAAGCTCAACCGGTTCCACCCCCTGCCCTGGACAGGGACGCCTTCCACTGTCCCACGCCACTCCAAATCCTAATGTCCAGCCTGGCTTTGGACACTCCAGGGATCCAGGGGCAGCCACAGCTGCTCTGGGCACCCTGTGCCAGGGCCTGCCCACCCTCACTTCTCACAGAGAAGATATTTTTCTTACATCTAGTCTAACCCTACTTTCACTGTCTGCGGTAGCACAGGAGCACCGTTCATGTGGTGTCGTACAGGCATGACTGACCAATTCCGACTGAGGCTCCCTGGGACTGCCCCGTCCTCCACAGCGACCGGGACAGGGTCACAGTTACCAAGGCACACGTCATGGTCACTGTACTAAGGGTTGTACGAGATACCGGCCGCTGACCGAACATCTGCTGAGGGTAAGAGCACTCTGCGTGTATCAAGGACCAGCCTTGAGGGCATTGCAGCCAGGCTGCCGGGCAGGGAGAGCTCAGAAAAGGCTCGCTCAAGCTCTCAGTTGGCTTGAAGTCAATTTCCATGTATCAGGAAAGGAATGCATGAGACTCCTCACACCCACAGCTTGCTTTGTTCCTTGATAAACTAGTCTTGGAAAAGCCACCCACTTTTCATATGTGAGGCACATGATCCATGTTTGTATACTTGATGCTCACTGTATCACTCTGCCCCTTTGTGAGTTTCCAGCACAGTTCTTTGCTCTCATGCCACCACCATGCAGTGGTTCTGTGCCCTCAGCAACTCTTGGGGGCTTTAGCACTACACTGAGATCTGGCACAAGTGAAGCCCCTGCTGAGTTAAACTCAGCAGAGCTCAGCACTGCAGCAGAGGAGAGCTTCCCTCGGCCACCAGATTCCCAGGAAAACCTTTCAAATTCCTAAGTTTAACCCAAGAAAATCCTTTCAGATAATCACACACTCATGTGCTGCTGTTATGTGTGGAGCTGATGAACCCCTGGCTAGGGAAACACAGCAGTGCCAGCATCTGAGGGGATTTAAACCTGCTGCCCAAGAGCTACGTGGGCAGGATCAGGCACATGGCCTGGGCTGCATGCGGGCAGCTCTGCCACATCTCCAGCAGAAAGCATGTCCATGTCCACCTGGACCATGGACAGCCAGGAGCAGAATTCTGCTCACAGGTTCAGTGGAGGTTTAAACCTGGGTCCCACACGTCTCGGGTCCCTTCAGTCCCCAAAACCGGTCAGGGTTGCTGCAGCTCCATCTCACCTTGTTCCCTCCTTGGTCACTTGTCCTCTCCAGACCCAGCTTTCCCCCGTGTTACTGCTTCTGTCCTTGGCCTGGGGGCTCCCTGAGGCTTGCTTGCTGTTGGTTTGGGATCCTGTGGGATGCAGGTGCTTGCCTTTCCCTGTGCGTGTTAAGGCAGTGCATAGCCCAGTCAAAAATACAGGTTGGGTGCTTACTAGCCAGGCAGAGCCAGGACACATCCCACTGCCAGTGGTTATCCTGTGGGATAAGATCATCGGGCAAAACTCCCATCCAAGTCTCGCCACAGCCCTCTGGAGGCTGGGATGAGCTGCCTGCTTTGGGACAGGTTAATGTCTGCCTATCCTGCCCAGGCTTGGCACTGGGAAGCAGGCTTTTCCCATCTCTAAAGCACTGCCATGCTGGTGCTCCTGGCAAGGCTCTTGGGAATCCCAGCCCAGCTGCAGGGGTGTGACTCCCACCACACAACTTGAAATTGCCCCTGGACATGGGGCATGTGGGAGAAAAGATGAGGAGAGCAAAAAGTGGAAGGTGAAGCCATGGGTGTGCAGCAGGAGCTGTGCCAGCTGTCCAAGCATTGAGGCAAGGCTGTGGTCTCACTCTTGCTCACAACCTATGGATGCTGGGGGCCAGCTGGAGGTGACACCTCCACAAGCTCTCCTTGGGCTCTGACTTTCCCTCAGCAAACCCCCAAATCAGGGAGAATGCAGGTCATTGGCTCTTCCCACTAGACTCTTGCTGTGTGCTGGCTCAAGAGCATTTGTGCCTGGCATGTCCCTTTCGTGAGGAGAGCTGGGTTGCTGCTTCCATCCAGCCTCTTCCCACAGCACTAAAAAAGCTTGCACTGCCTTTTTGAGCTGGAGCAGACCCCAGCCCCAGCCTGGCTTCCTGGCACTGCAGGACTGCCGAGAAGCCCCTCTGCACGGTATCTAGGGACCTTTGCTCCAGGATTGCTTAGCAGATGGGAAGCTCCAGGCTTAAGAAGAGCAGCAAGGACAGGGAAGCATCATTCCTGGGACCCAGATGGACTGCTTTTCCCCTTTCCCTTCTTATTCTTTCCTGTGGTAAAACAGGCCCAACTTGTTGCTTCCCACGGCCCAGTACCAGAAGCGCTGATGGGAGGCAGGTACTTCTCTGCACAGGGAGGGCTGAACTTTGCCTCTTCCTTTTTCCCCTTTTCATTACTAATGACCAAGGTCAGGGAGAGATATTGTGCCTAAGAGCTGTTGCATTTATTCGCTGGGAAAAAACACAGCAAGTTAAAACTTGGGGCTCTCCTGCCACGGGGGAAAGTAGAGAGGAAAGCATAGAGCAACAGGGGGTGACAGAGCTCCTGAATGCCTGCAGGTAGGTGAGAGCCTGTGTTATGCTGAGCTGCCAGTGGCCCCAGCCTGGGGAGTAGCTCCCTTGGCACAGCAGGGCTGCATGGCATGCACCGTGGTGGGGCTGTGCTGGTGATGTCTGCTGTGCTTGCACACCCACTCCACGTGCCTCTTCCTATGTCCTGGCCATTCCTGCCTCTCCACTGCTGACACAGTGCCCGAGTGCAGGATGTGTTTGCAGCACCAGGAGTGGAAGCCAGTGCCCAAGGAGAAATAGGGGCAAGCTGCTTCGAAGGGCTCAAGGTGGGCTTGGCACAGCTGATCAGGGTTAAACTCTAAAGCCAGACAATGCAAGCTGAGAACAGGGAGGTTAGGTTAGGGTTGGTGGCATCTGTGGCAAAGGAGCCCATGGCCCACAGAACAATTACACACTCCTCATCACACTGAGGGTCACCCCCAGCTGGTGGATGGACACACTGGAGCTGCCATGACCCTGCTGCTGCTGAGGATGTCCAGTCACCCCAAGGAGCCCAAACTCTTATATCTCTCTGATGTTGGATCCCACTGAGCCTGCACTCCTCTCCTGCCCTCCAACCATTTTCTTCCAGTTCTTATTTGGTGGCCGATTTGATCTTGTGTATGGCATATGGGCTTGACTCCTTGGGCATCCAGATCTCCTCCCCACTGTGGCCGTGGTGCTCCACTGCTCCCTCCATAGCTGCCGTCAGCTCAGGGCCGAAGATGCTGTCAGTGGCCCGGTAGGTGCGGGTGAGGCGGCGGAAGGAGGAGTCTGAGGAGCTGTCATCAGGGATGTCTTCATCCTGCTCATCTTGCAACTTGGTCCTGCCCAGCTCTGAGCTGCTCCCCAGCTCTGGGTCTTTGAGAGCCTCCCTCACCTCCTGGAGGAAGGTTGTTTTGGGGCTGATGATGCACAGCAGCAGCATGAGGCCTCCTGAGACTCCACAAAGAAAGTAGAGGGCAACTTTCTCTGGGACACCTGAAGGGAAAAGGAAAGAAAGACACAGGGTACAAACTGCTCTGATCTGCAGGCTGCGGGGTATCAGTGCCTGCAAAGCCCCTCTGCCAGGCATATGGGAGTAAGAGGAGGGGAGCAGGGATGCCCTCACCACCCAGGCTGCAGAGACAGGACAGACTCTGCCCCAGTGACCGTGGAAGTGTCACCTAGAGCCTCATCAGCAGCACCCACCAGTCCTGAAACGGGCCTTTCCCCAAAGAAAACCTCCAGTGGGATGTGGGGTAGGCAGAGCAGGGGAAAGAATAATCCCTTGGGGGATTAAATGAGTAATTTCCTCTGGCAAGGGCAATTTTTGCCTGCAGAAAGGTGGTCTCCATCAGTGCCTGCAGACAGGGCAGGAAGGAAAAGACACAGTGGGTAATCTGGCCTGTTGGAAAAGGAAGGTCCACAGGCAGGACTGTAGCCATACCATGACTCTTGATGCTGTGGGACTTTGAGGCTCGTTCCACCTCTGAGCTCCACCCTGCCTGTCCACCCCAAACCCAGCATGGGCGCTTGGTGCCATGCTCCTTCATGTGCCTGTTGGCCCTGCTGGAGAGGTTTGGGGTCTGGCTGCCTCTGAGATGAGCCATTGAGTTGAGCTGGGGCCATTTGGGATGTCAGCCACCCCCCAGCTTGCCCTATTTCCCCAGGTGCTGCATGAGACCCAGGGAGGCCACATACCCCAAAGGTGAGCAAAAGCTGCCAGAGAGCTAGTAAAAACCATGCGGTCTTCCTGGAGCCTGGAGAACCTGGGCCCTTTGTACCAGCCACCTGCAGTGACAAGGGGGTGCAGGCTGAGGCACGAGGTGCTCTCAGTGTCCTGGCTGCCTGCTCCTGCCTGTCCTTCCCCATACCACACGCCATCCTTCCTGCACAAGTGCTCTGCTGTCAACAGGGATGACCCTGTGTGTCTTCCTCTCCCCTGCTCCCAGCAGATGCCACCTCCATCCCCTCAGAATGGGCACTGCCCAAGGGATGGTTTCCACCACGGGACAGGGATGCTAGGCTGGAGCTGGTAGCAGGGATGCAGACAAACCATGGAAGGGCTGGTTCACCCCGGCACAGACATGGTGCCACACTGCTTGTGGTGTAACCTTCCTCTCCCCACATTACCATGTATGTAGTCCGAGAGCAGGAAGGGGTCTGAGGTGTCAGGGCCCACCTCCTCCAGCAGCTGCTTGGGCACTGCAAGGAGAGCACACACCAAGCATCACCACCCTGCTCCTCCCCTGCAGCCCCTACCTCCCTGGGTAGCCCCATGCCCCTGCCTGCCTGGCATGGGGTGGGCAGAGCAGACACTCCACCAGTGGCCCCTGTGCCCCTGGCTCTGTGGGGAGCTCTCACCACAGGTGTAAGAGACTCGCAGCTGCTTCTTTATGCCGGGGAGGCATGGGTCCCCAAAGGTGGCCTTGTCAGCAGCCACGGTGCAGTTCCCCTTGCGGTGGCACTTCTTGGAGACCCTGCGCAGAGCATCTGGAGCCACACACTCTGCAGAGACATGAGGCATGGACCCATGGGCAGAGCTGCCTGGCCCTCCCTGCTGGGCATCAGCCAGCAGAGACCAAGGGACAGAGGTACAGCCCAGTTCTCTGCATGATTCCTGCCCCATTTCTGTCTCAAACCATTCTGGCATACCTATAGGGGGTTCTCCTGTGTTTAAGACATCACATTCTGGTTTGCCCCGCAGGAATCGTCCATAACTTGCAGAATAAATGGCCAGGATGGATTTTGGTCGACACTGCAGCCTGAGCTTGTCATTCTCACACACGGTCTTGACCCGATGGTTCCCTAGGGAGTGACATCGCTGAGTGCCCCGATGCATCCTGAATCACCTCTCTTAGGCCAAGGGAAGGGTTGAAATAGGGCTACAAGGTGCAGGAGCAGCCATGCTCTGCTTCCTGCCCCTTTCTGAGCAGCTGAGGTCAGGGAGAGCCCATGCAGTGTTGCCCAGACCATGCTCCACCTCACCTGGCCGACACTTGTAGGATGCGATGAGGTACTTGTGTGTCCCAGGGCATGGGTCTGGTCCAAAGACCTGGCTGTGCACTGAGAACTGGCACCACTGCTGGTCCTGGCACTCAGCCAGCAGCTTCTGGAGAGCAGAGTGGAACAGGTGTGAGTTGGGTGAGAAGTCCTGAGGCTGTTCTTACCTCCTGTGTGTCAGTGCCATCACCACGCTCAGGAAAGTGGCCTCTCACAGCAGTGTCCCATAGCTGCTCCTGCCCAGCCCTGATGCAGACATCACAATTCCAGTGCCTGTCCCTGAATCAGTGAATCAGTTCCCCCCCCACCCCCCGCCACCCACAGTGAGTTGTGTGTCCTACACAGCTGCTACTACCTGTGTTGGCATCCCAGAACCATTCCCCACCATACCATACCATACCATACCATACCATACCATACCATACCATACCATACCATACCATACTGTGCAGTACCGTACTGTACCATACTGTACTGTAACATACCATACCATACCATACCGTCCCAGTACCACACCATTCCATACCATACCACACCACACCATAGCATACCGTACCATAGCATATCATACCATACCGTACCGTATCATACCATAGCGTACCGTACCGTACCATACCGTACTGTACCGTTCCATACCGTACCATACCATTCCATACCGTACTGTACTGTACTGTACCATACCGTACCATACTATACCGTTCCATACCGTACCGTACCATACCATTCCATACTGTACCGTACCATACTGTAGTGTACCATTCCATACTGTACCATACAGTTCCATACCGTACCGTACTGTACCGTACCATTCCGTACCGTACCGTACTGTACCATACCATTCCATACCGTACAGTACCGTACCGTACCGTTCCATACCGTACCATACCGTTCCATACCGTACCATACCGTACCGTACCGTACCGTACCGTACCGTACCACGTGTGTCTAGCACCGGTGCAGGCGAGCGCTGACACGGCCCCATCGGCTCGCGTCCCCGCGGTCCGTGCAGTGTCCCCGCGCGGCCACGAGGTGGGGTCTGAGTTTCACCCAGGGCCGGTCGGGCCCCGCCCGTGACCGAGGTGGCCGCGGCCCCTCTCCCCTCCTGCACACGCGGGCAGCCCGCGAGTGGCCGAGCCGTGCCCTCGGCTCTGGTAGGAGTCCCTGGGTGGCCCGGCCTTGGGTGGCTGTGGGACTCACTGCCCCTCTGTTCCCCTCCTTGCCCCCACAAGTCCCACAGCAGTGCTCCGCAGCGGAGCAGAGGCTGCCGACAGAAGGGAGGGGTTTATTCCCTTGCTACCTGTTCGTGACTCAGGCGCGGGGATCCCAGCACCCACAACGAAGCCTCCTCTCATCTCTCTCATTCCCCTCCTCTGTCCCTGTCCCTCCCGCCCAGCTCAGAACTGAGCCTCAGCTTGGTCTTCACTGCCTGCCAGAACGGAAATTCACTAAGGAAGTGAAAGCAATCTCTCTTCCCACTTGCTGCCTAAACAGAGCTGAGCCTTGGCAGCAGCTTTGCTCTCCTTGCTCTCTGCTCCAGACATCCCCGCTCCTTAAGCAGCAGCATGTATTGCAGCCCTGTGCCAACATGGCCATCCCACCGTTTACCCAGTATGAACCTGAGCTACACAGACCTGCTCTCAGACCTGCCCTTCAGTTTCCAAGCACCTGTGCCAGGCCATGCTCTCTATCCTGCAGAGAGGGGGATCCTGACCTGTGTTTGCCAAGTGGCTCATGGGACCAGCCTGGTGCTGTGCCAGCATGGTCTGGCTTGGTGCTTGCAGAGCTCCTGGAACATGCAGGATCCCAGAAGGGGATGTATGGTTGGAGCAGGACCAGGCAGGAAAGCCCTGTGAGCTCCTAAGCAGGGCACTGGCTCATCCGCTTTTCTCATAGGCAGCTGCAGTCACCGGCTTTGCAGCAGGTTTGCCCCAGCCCTAGCAAGGAGCTGGAACAGGGTCTTAGAAAAGCAGCATATGAAATTATGTCCCCATCGAGGGACCTAGGCATTAGCTTTGAGGAGATTTCATCTCTTTTCTTCTGTCAGTCTCTGCTTTCCTACCCTTTCCCTACACCAACTGCTGTCATCAAACAGGCACCCCTTTGGTCTGCTTCACTAATCCAGTCCCTGGGACCTGCCAGCACAGATGGGTGCTGCTTCTGGCTGGGGAAGAGCCAAGCTCTGTGCCAATCCCAGGGGATGCAGCCACAGGAGTGAGTGCAGCATCTCAGGGGGTCCTGTCTCACTTCATGTGCCCAACAGCCTGGCTACGGCATTGCCCCTCTCCCAGAAGCCAGCCTCAGACGCCAGGGCGTTCTCTGAGCCTGCTGCTTCCTGTGGGATTGCTCCAAAAGCCGTCTCAGGACACAGCAGTGCCTCCTGCCAGGCTCTACTCTGGAACACACGGCAGAACGTCTCTTCCACCCTTAACTCCCAAAAATGGTCTAGGAAAAGGGCCCCACAGTGAATCACAGAAAATACAAAATTGTGAGGGACTGTTGACTCTCTCAAAGGCAGGGAGGTCTGACAGAGAGACTGCAAGAAATCAGAGGACTGTGCAATCACCCACCACAGGAAATTCAACAAGGGAAAGTGCTGGATTCTGTACCTGAGAAGGAGCAACCCTGGGTGTATGCTGTGGGTCCTGGTCAACAGCAACCTGAATATAAGGCAGCAGTGCCCTGACAGCCAGGAGAGCCAATATTTTCCTGGGGGGCATCAGGCTCAGCCAGGCCAGGGAGGGGATTATACATCTCTGCTCTGCATGGGGCAGCCTCACTTTGAATATTGTGTGTATTTTTGGTCACCATAATATAAGAAAGATACTATTAGAGAGCATCCAAAGGAGGGCAACTTTGTGAAATACTGTGAAGGGCCTTGAGGGGAAGCCTTATGAGGACTGGCTGAAGATACTTAGCCTGTTCAGCCTAGAGGAGTCTGAGGAGGTCCTCATTTCAGTCTACAACTTCCTCGTGAAAGGAAGAGAAGGAGCAAGCACTGGTCTTTCCTCTGTGGTGACAGGACCCGAGGGAATGGGCTCAAGTTGTGTGAGGGCAGGTTTAGGCTGAATATTAGAAAAAGGTTCCTCTCACAGAGGGTGGTTGGGAACAGGCTCCCCAGAGAAGTGGTCTCAGCACCAAGCCTAACAGAGTTCAAGAAGTGTTTGTGATTCTTTTATTCCATTGTTCTGTAATCCTGATGCTGATGCAAACCTCCTCAGGGCATGAGGAGGCTGCATTGCCTGCAGCCCCCCAGCCCAAGCAGGCAGCTCAGTGATGTGGAGACAGAGGGTTGTGCAGCCCGGCCCCTGGGATCCCTCCCTTACCAGGTGGGCAGTGGCAGACGTGCACTCGGTGCTCTCCTGGGAGGCACTGTCGGGGCTGGGGCAAAGGTTGGTGCTGGGCACTCGACGCCCATAGAAGGCCCCGAGGATGCTGATGGTGGTTTTGTGAGGGCAGACGATGAGGAGCTGCTCTCCATCACAGGTGTGGGCAGTGTGGTTCCTCAGCACCTTGCGCAGGTACCCTGGAAGGGAAAGCAGGGGTCCATTGTCCAGAGGAGACACCAGGGCCACAGCAGTCATGGCACTTGGGCACCCAAGTGCTGGTGGCAGTGAGGATATCTTGAGATGAGGCACTTATGGAGTGAACAAGATCAGAGCAGAACAGCAGCAGAGAAGATGGGCTTGTAGCAAACCTCGCATACATAATTGCTGCCAGGAGCCTGGAAAGCAGCACAGAATAGCTGAGCTGGTTAGCAACAGGAAAGGAAAGATAGAGGCAGTACAGCAAGTCAGAGAAGATGGAGAAATCCCATAAGGAGTTGTCAAGTGTTTAGAGAAAATCAGTCTTGTTATGGAGCCATGGTGGGGAGAGAACAAGGGTGAGCCAGAGATGGTCTCCAGTGATGATTCCGGGAGTCAGGGTGAGCAGGATGCCCTCTGTCACAAGTCTGTCACAAGTTGAGCCATGAGCCAGATGAGAGAAGGGTCCAGGGGCTTCTGCAAGCTCCCACAGCTGTCTGGGTCAGTATGGATGAGTGTGAGCCACAAAGCCATCACTTGAGCCCAGCTGACCTCAGGTCTCTGCTGAAGAAGCCCAGTGTGTTGCTGCAAACTATTCCTGGCCCACAACCCTTTCAATGGCAACTGGCCCTTCCCTCCTTGAATTCCCATCGCAGAATGCATCTTTCTTTCAATCCTGCCTAGTTCATGTCCCAAACTACTGCCCCTATTGTTTTCCCTACCGGGGACAACAAAGTGGGATGGTTCTGTGCAGTGTCTCCAAAGGCTTAACATGCAGCATTGGCTCCAGTTGGCATTGGCTGTACTGGGTGGGCAAGGAGTCTGTTTTAGTAAGAGCTCTTCAAGCTGCCAGGTGCTCTGAGCAGGCACCAGCTGCTGAAGAAGACTGTGGAAGGAAGAAAACTGACAAAATGTGATGTGTAGCCCCTGACTGAAGCACTTTGCATCTTTGAATAAAACAAAACCAAAGGGGAAGCTTCATTTTGAGGCTTGGGAGATTGCAGCAGGGCAACATGGGGCTTCTGACCCCCCAGCTCTGTGGTCTTTGGAGCAACTTGCACCTCAGCCCCAGGCTGGTGCTGGGGCCCAGGGCAGGACATGCACCCTGTCCCCCCAACCCCAGTGTGTCAAACTCCCCCAAACCAAGACAAGAAGGTGGGAACACTAGCTCCCCTCCCCCCTCCCTGCAAACTGCTGCCAGGCTCAGCAGCACAAAGGGCCCCTTTTGCCTTCAGTGCTGCCCCTAACCCTTTGGTATCTGCAGTCAGCATCCCTCCCTATGATGTCAGCAGGTGCAGCTGGGAGCTGCCTCCAGCATGGAGTTAATCTCTCCCTTGGCATTATCCCTCACAAGCTGGGATGAGCAAGTGGGTGGCCACAGCATCCTAGAATCAAGCCCTCGATTGCTTCTCTGCATGCTGGAGGTAAGAGGAAAGGAGAGGTACAGGAGGGTAGACGGCAGTAGACAAGGTGCTCTAGCCAGGTCAAAGCTCCAGTGTGATGCAGAGATGCTCTCTGAATGGCACAGGGCTGGATCAGACCCTTGGAGTGCAGAGCTCACGAAGAGGGGACAGGACAAACCCTGGTCTGTCCCTCTCCTCTGGTTGCCCCATATCACTGTATGCTGGGGCCTGTGAGGGGCACAGGACCCTGCCCAGGCTGCCAGCCCCCATCTCCTTCCTCTGCATCCCCTGCAGCAGTCCTACACTTGCAGCACCAGCCGCACACCTGGCAGAAGTCAGATGCTCCTGAAGGTTTCAGAGCCACCCTGGCCTTGACCTCTGCATAGCACTGACTCCAAACCCACCTGCCTATACCAAACCCTGCTGGATGTAGGGCTGCCTAAAGTCCCCACTGCTGGGCAGCCTTGGATGCAGAGGGCTCAGACAAATACTAGGGTGGCAGGGAAGTCAGGGGAGAAATATGAGAAGAAATGGGTTTCCCCAAATCCAGCCTTGAGGCAGCCACCCTGTTCTGCTGTCACCAGTGGTTTGTATTTTAAAACTAAGGCTCAAACATTGCCATGGGTGCAGAGGTTTCTCCATCACACTGTTTAGGGCCAGTGAGCAGTTGTGAAGATGTTTTTTTGGGTGGAGCCATGTCAAGGAGGCTGTAGGCAGACTTTGTGGGTGATTCGTGCCAGTACAGCTGACTCAGTCTCCGGTGCTGTGGTTGTGCCGTTAGCTCTGCCCAGATGAAATCACATCCTCCTCACCACAGCCCATCCTGCAGCATCAGGCTTTCACCCTCCTGGGCTCAGCTGAGCAGATGGAAGGTGTGTGTGGCTGTTTCCAGATGATTCCCGGGGAATGCCCGGTGCCCAGCCTGCCTGCACCTGTCCTGACTGTTCAAAGAGCTGGAACAGAAGGAATCCCAAATTTCTGCCTTGTCTACACCTATAAGGTTCACCTGCATAGCCCTGGGGAGTGCTTCTGACCCATGCCATATCTTGTGGCAGGGGACCCTGCAGCACCCCTACTCACGAGTGGCTCTAGTGGGGACACAGCCACCAGCTCCATCGAGGGACCAGGTACAGCTTCAACCCAACTCTTCCCTCTCCTCCCCAGAGCAGAGAAGGCTGGCAGGGTAGCCCTGAGTGCTCTTTCAGCTCTACACACTGCCCAGCACCGAGGACATGAGCATCGTGGCTGAGGGGAAGCTCAGCAAAGCTCAGGGACTGGCTTGATGTTTGTTTCTTTGCATTTCTGCCTGCAAACTATCCAAGAGAGCCCAGCAGAGCTGGGGAGCCACTCTCATGCACAGCAGGGCTGTGGGATGTGTGCAGTGTGTTTTCAGAGAACAGCCCTGTGTGGAGATAAAGAAATCCCAGCATTTTGGGGAAACTCACTCTGGCCTGCCATGGTTTGTACCTCACTTGTCCCTACCCCACCAAACTGCTGTTGCTTTGCCCTCCCATCATACCAGCGCAGTTCTCAGCATCCCCCTCCTCCCGTCCTTCCCCCTGACTCACCGGACAGCTCCGGGCTGGCCTGGAGACGCGCAGCAAAGCAGAGGAGGAGCAGGGTTCCTGCTGGCCGGAGCAGCCCGGCCATGGCACGGCCGCGGTGTCCCAGCCGGCAGCTGGTACCAGCCGGGGCCTCGTTGGCGGGTGGTGCTCGTGGGGCTGACCCTGGCGGGGACAATGGCTCACTTCTCTGCCCTGCTGAATCCCGAGGCTCGGCGAGCACATGTGCACTCGCTCTGAGCCCGCTGCCTCGGGCCAGAGGCTGCTCGGGACAGCGGGGTCACTCTCAGCCCAGGAACATTTCCCCCAGGAACCGTGTTACGGGTGAGCCGTGCCTTGGCATCCCATTGCTGCCAAATAAACTGGCAGCCCCTTCCCTCCCGCCTCTGTTCGCCCTGGGCAGAGGAACAGGGCTTGACAAGGTTTCCAAAGTGTCCCCAGCTTTCTCCCAGAGTTATTTCATCCCATTCTGTTTCAGGGTGAAATAGAAATCCAGATAAATGTGTGCTGTAATCTCAATCTCAGCAAATGTCCGGCCATTCACTCTGTGAGGAGGAAGGGAAAGGCTCCTTGAACTGCCTCCCAGGCGGCTGTTCCTGCAGAAAAGACAAACACCCTGCAGCCAGCAGAGTGGGAAGGGATTTGTTCGCTGCCACGTTTCTGCCTCACAGCCTCTGTGGGGCCAGGTACTGGGCATTCCGGCACCTTGTGAGGAGGGCACCGTGTCATACTGTGCCTCCCACCTGCAGGACTTAAACCCCTGCTTGTTGCTTCAGCTGGAGGGAAGTGCCATGGACTGGAGCTGCTGGCTCTTCTCCCGGCTGAGATCAGCAGAGACAGCAGCAGCTGGCAGTGCCAGGAGCCATCACAGCTCTCAAGGCCCAGCATTGCCCTGGCAGGGGTGGCTGGGGAGGCTGTGGCAGCAGTGGGTACTGGCACACCTCACCTGGGTCCACAGCAGGGGCTGGGTGGTGAGTGTTGAGCTTGTGATGAGGGTAATGCCGTGGCTCTGTGGGGCACTCACAGTGCCATCAATACATACTTCTTGATTATGAGAGTATGAGTCAGAGTGTCCCATTGAGTAGGGTTCCAAATTCTCCCAAAGTTTTGATGGGGCAAAAAAATTGCCCACCCCCTGCAACCCCCAGTGTTAGCACCACTCTGGGCTGTGTAGCAGGACCAGGGGAAACATCTTTGTTGGGGAGTCTCCTCCAGGGGTCTGCAAAATAATTTCCCATCCTAATTGCCTTGAGGGAGATTGCTGTCTGATCAGGGGTTGATTATTTGGGGAAAGCTGGAGCCTATCTGAGCTGGGGGGGCAAGCAGAGTCAAACGCTGGGGATCCCCATTTTGTGCAATGGTACCAGCTATGTGGTCTAGGGATGCAAGACAGGTCTTGCCTAATAGTTAAGCCCGTGTGTGCTGGGAAGCTGTATCTGCTGTCTCTGCAGCCAGGGTGATCTGACTGCAAACAGTTCCCTCCCATCCTGGGGAGGAAAGCAAGCTGTTCATCCTTCCTGCAAAACAGCCCAGTTCCAGGAATGGGGCCCTGCTGAAGGTCAGCCCTGAAGACATCTCATCCCACCATCCTGCCAAGCACCACATAGCTGGGCAGCTGCCAGGGGCACTGTGGGGTTCCTCACTGCTCCCCGGCATGCTTCAGCATCTTTTATCTCCTGCCTTAGCTTAAGATTTTGCAATCCTTCCCACCCAAGGGCTATGCCCCACCTTCAAAAAGTCAGTGACATTTGCTCAGACTGCTCCACTCAGCTTCCCTGAGCACTTGCCCTGTGCAGCCCAGCTCCTTGCAGCGAGGGGTGCTCAGACAAGCCCACGCAGGGATCCCCCGAGGGTGGTGGGCTGGGAGAGGAGCTGTACCTTCCCTCCAAGGGGCTGCCTGTCATAATGCAGCCGCAGGAGGCAGAGAAAAGGTCAGCCAGGTTCACCCCAAATTGATAAAGAAGCCCTGGGGCACTGGACTCCAGCATGAGGGTGGGAGAGTGGCAAAGGGCCAAGACTGGAGCAGCAGGAGGAGCA